TTTTTTTTTACTCTCGGCAAATTCTCAATTTGGGCCCCCGAGATAAGTCAGAGTTGGTCTGAAGATTGGTGAGGAGGTAAAGAAGCACGTTGTGAGGCCCAGCAAGGAGATATCCAGCCCCGCACAAACACACATACCCCGGCCTACTTTGCCTTCCAGCGGGTCCCGCTTGAAGTGGATGCCGTGGATGTCGGTGTGAGCCTCCCCTCCGGCGTTGATGGCCCAGATCACCTTGTCGCCGTAGCCCGCGCCGGGGCAGCAGCGGCCCAGCAGCAACGCGGCCGTGAGCAACCAAAGGCAGTGCGGGCTGCCAGCGCACGGCTTCCCCCTCCTCATCTCGCAGTCACCGGCTCCGGCCTCGGGCGCCACACCAACTGCACCTCCACCACGAGCACCATCCAAATCAACACGGGGCCGGGGCGGGGGGAGGGGGGTGTTGGAGGCTGAGGGGAAAATACAACTAAACAAAAAAAAAACCTCCCCTCGATAATAATCTTCACATTGAAACCCGGCCGCGACTCCGAAGATTAAATTATTATTCTTGTGCTGTGGTAAAATAAATCCCCCGCTCACTCTCTATCTCTCGCTCCCTTTCTCGGGAACAGTTTGAGGGAGGGGTAAAGAAAGCGGGCCGCCTCGACCTAACCTGATTGCAGCGGGGCTTGCTTGTTGGTTGGGAGGGGGGAAGAGATTGACAGGGCGCTTGGCCAGTAGAACTCGGGCCTCGCGCGGGTTGCCCGTGTAGCCGGGACATCGTAGCCAATCGGCGCCGGGGGCGGGCCTTCGGGTCAACATGTTCGGTTGCGCGGGCGGCGCGAGCCTGTTCAGGTGGCAAGTGCCAACCGAATGGGGAGAAGTAGGTGAGCCGGTTCCATTGGTGGTGGGCGGGGAGTTGAGGCTCTGAATTAACGCTTTTCTGGGAGCCCGTGTCGCTAAACGTGGCTTATTTAGAAAAAGTTTGACATAATTCCTCGATACATATTTCTCCTCCGTTCTCTTTTGCTTTAGCTCCGCGATCTTGCACTCGCCATTCAGGATATATGGTCAAGAAACACCCCTCGTTGCGCAGAATGAGACGATCGCGAAGAACCAATCAGAACGATCCAACGCACACTTGTCGCGAGGCATGGTGGGAACGCGAGCGTGTGAATGAATGAATGAATGAATGAAAGCCGGGTTCTGGGCGGGAGAGAATGAGATTGGCGTTGTACTTAATGGTGATAGGTTTTGGTTGTATTGTCTGAGCAGTACCTCACGGGCTGTCCGTAAAGAAACCTGTTACAGCAAATATTTTCTGAAGAAGGGTCTAGGCCCGAAACGTCAGCCTTCCTGCTCCTCTGATGCTGCTTGGCCTGCTGTTCATCCAGCTCTACACCTTGTTATCACAGCAAATAGACCTGTGCTGTTAACATACAAATTAGGATTAAGGCTTGTTTAGCCTGCTGAACCATTCGAGAAATGAAGGGCACAGATTTTAAGTGAGTGGCAACAAGAAGCACGGTGGCAGTGTTTAGTACTGCTTCCTCATAGCGCCAGGGACCTGGATTCAATTCCAGCTTCGGGCGACTGTCTGTGTGAAGTTGGCTTTCCTGCTCCTCTGATGCTGCTTGGCCTGCTGTGTTCATCCAGCTCCGCACCTTGTTATCTCAGAGTCTCCAGCATCTGCAGTTCCTACTATCTCTTCGTCCTGTCTGCGTGGGTTTCCAGTTTCCTCCCACAGTCCAAAGATGTGTAAGTTAGGTGAATTGGCCATGCTAAATTGCCCATAGTGTCCATGGTTGTGCTGGTTAGGTGAATTAGCCTTGGGAAATACAGGGTTATTGGAGCAGGGGGTGAATCTGGGTGGGATGCTCTTCAGAGATTAGGTGTGGACTTGTTGGGCCGTATGGCCTGTTTTCATATTAGAGAGATTCTATGATGGGTGACCACAAACCGAGTGGTTCAAGGCATGGAACATGCATGTGGAAATATGGTAGAGGCAATCAAGGCATTTAAGAAGTATTAGATGATCACTTGAATAGAAACAACATGTAGTGGTATGAGAAAAAGGTAGAAGTCACCATGCTCATGTGGAAAGCCAGTGCAGACAAGATGGGCCAAATGATCTTTATCTGTGCCAGAACAAACTTGTGATTCATTTTGGTAGGAAAAGTATGGAAAGATAGGGTACAACTCAAAAGGTGCTGCAGGAGCAGAAAGACCTTAATGTGTAAGTGCATAAGGGTGGTACAATGGTTAGCACTGCTGCCTCACCGTGCCAGGGACCCAGGTTCGATTCCAACCTTGATTGTCTGTGTGGAGTTTGCACGTTCTCCCTGTGTCTGCGTGGGTTTCCTCCCACAATCCAAAGATTAGGTGGAGACAAAAATAGAAATTTCTGGAAAAGCTGAGCAGGTCTGGCACTAGGTTAGGTGGATTGGCCATGCAAAATTGTCTGTTGTGTCCAGGGATGTGCAGGCCAGGTGGATTAGCCATGGGAAATGCAGGGTTATGGGGATAGGGTAGGGAGGTGCGTCTGGGTGGGATGCTCTTTGTGGGGCTGGTGTGGACCCTATTGGCAAAATGGTCTGCTTCTCACTGTAAGGATTCTGTGATTCTATTCTATGTCTTTACAGATGGCAGGACAAGTTGAGAGAACTGTTAATAAAGTACAGTATTTTAAGTTTTATTAAGAAGGGCATAGAGTACAAGAGCAAGGAGGGTATGAACCTGTATAAAACACTAATTTAGTGCTTGTCCTTTCTTTTAATTAAACTTGCGTTAAAGCCTGTTCATGTTTCCTCTTCAATTTCAAAGCACTCAAAAGAGTTAAAACTTTGTCAAAAAAGATCTTGTTCTGGTCAACTGAGCAGTGGCAAAAACAGGTTTGTTATCTCAATTCTTCCTGTCCATAACACTGATCGCAACTGAGGCCTGAACAAAATTTTTTTAAAACTGGACCTTTAAATTGATCAATCTGTGCATGTTTGATGTTGTGTTGGCAATGGATAGATTGGGAAATTAGATTAAAAAGTCAAATAAGTAATTCATAGTGGTTAAAGATAGTGTTACATTAAAGGAAGACATTTATAATGCTGTCAGAAAGAGTTGTAAACCTGAGGATTGGAAAGACTTTAAAATTCAGTAAAGGATAGCAAGGATATCAAATAACAATTGGTAAAGAAGGACAAAATAGGAATATGAAGGAAAACTATACAAATACATTAAGAACAGATTGTAAAAGGTATGTGAGGAGGGAAAAAAGTCATGCAAGTAAAGACAGATTCTTTAGAAGCTGAGACAAAAGAAATTAACACAATACAAGGGAAAGGTAGATCTATTAAACAAATGCTTAGTAAAAACTGAAAGATCTGCAAATGCTGTAAATCAGGTACAAAAACAAAGTTGCTGGAAAAGCTCAGCAGGTCTGGCAGCGTATGTGAATTAAAAAACAGAGTTTACGTTTCGGGTCCGGTGACCCTTCCTTGTTCTGAGGAAGGGTCACCGGACCCGAAACAAATGCTTAGTATTGGTCTTCATGGCAGTAGATACAAAAATATAGGAATTAATGGGGAACCAAGGATCTACTGAAATAAGAAAGTTAAGCAAGTGAGTATGACAAAGAAATGGTGCTGGAGAAATTAATTAACCTTATTTTAAACTTCCCTACTGCAGATACGTTTTTCTACAGCTACCTTATTAAAACCATAATTTTAAATACAACTATTTGGTCACCCTGTTTATAGAAAAGAGACTCCACTCTGGTCAGTCTATCCTGACAGGTGTATTTTGTCATTGTTCTGCCCCATTGGCTTGATGCTAATCTTTGGGAGATCTCACTGGCATTCAGACATAACTAATAGGGCTCTGACCCTTTAAATGACCATGTTCTGTTTATCCTCCGACTACATCACTGACAAATGATACTTGCAAAAGAACAACAGCAAAGCAGTGAAATGTTAATTAATGTTGATGTTTATGTAGGAGGAGGGAAGCTATTGTGCAAATACAAACTTCATGCTACAGTGAGACCCTTCCCAAGAAGCCATATATGTTTTCCATGGCTGTTCCACATTCCTGCTGTGGTTCACTAAATTCTCTGCAATTCCTCCTAGAAACTCTGCAGCATTTTATAGTGTTTTTACAAGATGGTTTAATGCCAGATCTCATTGTCACATTTTACCACAAAGGGTTAAAAGCAGATGTGAGTGAGAATTTTCCAAGAAGCCATTTCACTCCTGAGATGAAATCTGCCCTTTGTCTCTTTTATGTTAATTTGAATTGTTGTGGGCGTTCCTGAGCAAACAGGTTTTTTAAAAGGTGTGCCTTTCCTTTACTACAGAGCCTGATGCTTATGTGAAAATAGGGAAATATTCAGCCCTTTGAGCCAGCTCTGCCATTCAATATGGTTATGGTTGATCCTCTGTCTCACCATCATGTTCCATCATTCTCTCCATTTTCCTTGATGCCTTTAATATCCAAAAATTTACCAAACTCTTTCTTGAAAATATTCAGTAACCCAGCCTCCTCAGCCTTTGCAGTTAACAGTTTCACATGTTGACCATACTCTAAATGAAGAAATGTTTCCTCATCTCAGTCTTAAATGGTCGACTCTATATCTTGAGACTGTGACACTAATTCTAGACTCCCCTGTCAAGGGAAACATCCTCCCTGCATCTCGTCTGTTTAGCCCTGTTAGATTTTTTAATGTTTTAATCAAATTTCCTCTCATTCTTCTCAATTTTAGCAAATGCAGGCCCAGTCAAACATATCTCTTCTCATACTACAGTGCTGCCATCCATAGTATCAGCTTAGTGAATCTCCCCTGCACTCTCTCTGTGTCAAGGATATCTCTCTGAGAGAGACCAAAACTGCACACAATACTCCAGTGCGAATCACAGTCTCTCCTACTAATGGACACATCTTCTCCACTCTATCCCCAGACCTCTCAGTATTCTGTAAGTTTCAATGGGACACCCCTCATCCTTCTAAACTCCATCGAGTACATGCCAGGAGTCCTCAACTGCTCCTCATATGACAAGTCCTTCATCCCTGGGATCCTTGTAAACTTCCTCAGAACCCCTTACAAAGCCAGCACATCCTTCCTTAGATACAGAGCTCAAAACTGTTGACAATATTCCAAATGCAGTCTGACCAGAGCCTTGTACAGCTTTACTAATACCTCTCTCCTCTTGTATTCTAGCCGTCTTGAAATGAATGCTAAAGTTGCCTTTGCCTTCCTAACTGCCATCTGAACCTGTGTATTAATGTTGAGAGAATCCTAAACTAGAATTCTTAGGTCTCTTTGTACTTCAGATTTCAGAATACTTTCCCAGTTTAGCAAATAGTCTATGCTTGTACACTTCCTACTAAAGTGCGTAATCTCACACTTGCCCACACTGTATTCCATCTGCCATTTTATGTATTCTCCTAGCTTGTCCAAGCACTCTGTAGCCACTCTGCTTCCTCAACACTACCTGTCTCTCCATCTTTGTGTCAACCACAAAATTAGCAACAATGCCCTCGTTTCCTTTGTCCAGATCATTAATGTATAATGTAAATAGTTGTGGTCCCAACACTGACCCCTGCAGAACTCCACTGGCTACCCACTGCTATTCTGAAAAAGATCCATTTATCCCTACTCTCTGCTTTTTGCCAGTCAGCCAATCTTCTATCCAAGCCAGTATCTTGCCCCTAACACCATGAGCTCGTATCTTAATTAGCAGCCTCCTGTGTCACAACTTGTGAAAGACCTTCTGGAAATCCAAATACATTACGTCCACTGGCTCTCCTTTGTTTAACTTGTTCATTATCTCCTCAAAGAATTCTAACAGATTTGTCAGGCATGATTGCCCTGACAAAGCCATGCTGACTCAGCCCTTTTTTACCATGCACATCCACAATCTCATCCTTAATAATAGACTCTAAAATCTTACCAATGGCCTATAATTTCCCATCTTCTGCCTCCCTCCTTTCTTAAACGGGAGTGTTACATCAGCCATTTTCAGTCCTCCCCTTGACTCCAGTTATTCCTGAAAGATCACTACCAATGCTTCCACAATCTCTTCAGCTATCTCTTTCAGAAGTCTGGGGTGTAGTCCTTCAGGTCTGAGTGATTTATCCAACTTCAGTCCTTTCAGCTTTTCCAGCACTTTCTCCTTAGTGATGCTCACTACACTCACCTCTGCCTCCTGACTCTCTTGAAGTTCAGATATGGTACTGGTGTCTTCCACCTGGAAAACTGATGCAGAGTAGTTATTCAGTTCCTCTGCAATTTCCTTTTTCCCCATTACTACTTCTCCAGCCTCATTTCCCAATGCCCATTCTTGGCTCTCTCATACCTTCTATGCATCTAAAAAAAAACTCTTGCAATCTTCTTTTATATTACTAGTGTCCATATTTCTGAACTCAACTCCTCTTGCCATGTATGCTAAAATACCATTTGCCTTACTAACTACTTGCTAACTCGCCTGCTCAATTTCATTGACTGGTGTACAAGGACACCTAGATCCCTTTGTGTATCCACATTTCCCAAGCAGTTAATGTTCATATTACATTGGGTCCCTCTATTCTACTGATGTTACACACAGTAAGTGAATAGAGATCAGGAGTTCTACACTGGTAGTTGGAAGGAATAAATGTAACTATACCAGCTCCGTAAGGTTCTAGTAATTGTTCCTGTAGTGTATGCCTCTTGTAGTGTATGCTTTAGATAGACAGACAAAGCAAAGATAAAGGAGGATTGGTGATAGCAAGTTATCTAAGACAACTCTTACCCATATTAGATGCTGGTGGAGATGGCAAATAGCTCAAGGTGCCAGGAGTGGCATTCTGGGAAAATAAATACAGTATTGACAGAAAATTCAGGACAGATTTGGAAAAGTATTGGAAAACAGAGATACTGCATAAAATAAATCATCAGATAGGTTGCTGGGCCCGAGTTTAATAAAGAAGTCAGATGGTCTTTTGCAGAGCTATGCATTCATATGTTTCTAATTCTAAATACTGAGTAAAGCCAGATTCTGCTTCTCATTATATAAAATAACGAGGCTTTACTTTCTGGGCCGTAAAAGAATAATGCATAATTTCTTTCAGAGATCATAAAAGGCCTCCAGCTAATTTTAATATGGGAACAATTCTTGTGCAAATAATTTATCTTAGAATTGATCTTAAATACAGGTGTAAATGTTTTTTTCTCATTGTGCAAAATTCCAATTTACCCAACACAAAAACCCCTTGCACGATTCTCATCCAAAATCCGTGCAAATAGAAATGTTAATTTCTGAAGATTGAAGCAAGAAATTTATTTTGTATATCCGTGGGGTACATTTTGCTGCCTGTTCAGCAGGAGTTATTGGAATAACTTGGGCATATCTTCTACTGAAACACCAGGAGGAATTGGATACAAGTTGCAGGTGTTTCCCTCATTGGCTGACGGTTCATTGCTCAGCAGCGCCATCGGGGAGGCTGTGGCTACTGCTAGTACTGCACCAAAGACCATGGAGGTATCCAGGGGAGTGATCTCAGCAGGGGTGTGAGTGGTGCTGGGTTCCTGGATCTAAGTGCTTCAAGGAGGAGCATTATCTGCCCTACACGCCCCCTCACCCCATGCACCAGAAGTCCTCAGACATCACATACAGTTGCCCCTCTGCCCATTGTCAGATGAATATGATGAATTGCCCACAGGTGCACAGATTTCCTCCCACAGTCCAAAGACGTACAGGTTAGGGTGGATTGGCCATGCTAAATTGCCCATAGTGTACAGAGATGCGCAGGCTTCAGATGTCCATGGTGAGCCATGGGAAGTACAAGGTTACAGGGGGGGGGGGCAGGGGGGGGAGCGGGTTGTTGTGGGTCGTTGTGGGTCGTTGTGGGATGCTCTTCAGAGAGTCGGTGTGGACTCAATGATCCAAATGGACTGCTTCCACAATGTAGGGATTCTATGATTAAGGACTTCAGTTAGTGATGGGACGTCCATAGTCTCTAAGCACCAGTTGGCCGCGTTCCCTCTATTATTTCTTTCTTTTGTGCAAACCTCCAATGTCTGTCTGCAGCAGCTATTTTTGAAACCGGAATTCAAAGCTGAGATCGACTGTGTTGTGTGAAAGGAGAGAAGGCTAGCACTCCCCTTGATAAGGATGGAAGGGGTCCTAGTGGCCTTACAACACACAAGCAATTAAGGCATTGCCACCTACTTAGTGGTATGTCATAGAGATGTACAGTTACCAACTTGTCCATGCTGACCAGATATCCTAAATAAATCTAGTCCCATTTGCCAGCATTTGGCCCATATCCCTCTCAACCCTTCCTATTCATATACCCATCCAAATGCCTGTTAAATGTGGTTATTGTACCAGCCTCCACCACTCCCTCTGGCAGCTCATTCCATACATGCACCACCCTCTGCATGCCCCTTAGGTCCCTTTTAAATCTTTCCCCTCTCACCTTAGACTTTATGCCCTCTAGTTTTGGACACCCCCACTCTGGGGAAAAAAACCTTGGTTATTCACCCTACCATGCCCATCATGATTTTATAAGATCTCCCTCAGTCTCTGATGCTCCAGCGAAAATAGCCCCAGCCTATTCAGCTTCTCCCTATAGCTCAAACCCTTCAAACCTGGCAATATCCTTGTAAATCTTTTCTGAACCCTTTCAAGTTTCACAACATCCTTCTTCTGGCAAGGAGACTAGAATTGCACGCAGTATTCCAAAAGTGACTTAACCAATGTCTTGTACAGCCTCAACATGACCTCCCAATTTGCTACAAATTGCATGCTTTTGCCAAGCAGCAAGATAAGTTGCTCACCAGGCAGTGGTGAGTTGCTATTTAACAGGGCCACACATGGTCAGGGCATATGCCTGGGTACAGTCTGGGGAAGGGACAACAGTCAGCCCTGTAGGGTCAGCAGCAGCAGTCAGGGGAATTGTGTACTATCAGTTGGGGAGCTACAATGACAGTGGTCAGGGTCTGCTCAGTCATACCTAGGGCTCTTGAAGTCAGTAGGAGGTCTGGGGTGAACAGTCCTGGGGATCCAATCATTGATTGTTGAGAGACAGTCCAAGAGGGGCCTGTAGGGACGGTGGAAGGATCAATTCCAAAAGGGGTAGAGATATCAAGGCTTGTGGGGTTGGAAAGCCGAGGGATGTGTAGAGGTGAGGACAAAGATGATGATGGTGGAACTCAAGGTTATGCATGCCAGGTAAAACAGCATCAGAGGGCATGATAGGTTACAGGAATGAAGGGTCTCGAGATGGGGAGCATAGAGGAGCAGAGCCTGCATCATTAATGTTGGGTTTGAAATAACTTCACTGAGGCTGGTATCCCGTCACCAAGTCACCCTTTATTTACACATGGAAAGTCCTTGACACTGATCCAGCTCCCTCAGATCTGGCTCTCAGAATGAACAGTCTGACACTCCCGTTCATATCTGTCAGCCAGGGCTCCCTGATTGGACCAGATTAACAGACCTAATCGGGGAATTCATATTTTATGAGGTCCACCTGGCTGACCTCATTACAATCAGGGTCCAGGGAGGACAGTTGGAGGCAATGTTTTTGTGGTTAGTCTCCACAAGGAGGGATTGGACGGAAAGTGCTGATGGGGTAATGTGAGGGTAAAGGGGACATGCAGGTCTTGATAGGGTATCTGTGGAGTCTGGTGCTGACAGTGTTCATCATGAGCTGTATTCAGATTTGACTAACTGCTTGTCTGTATGTGTTGAGAATGACAAGCTGCAGGTCTACAGTGAGCTTTGGGGACAGAACAGTGGTGACTTAGAGAGTGTGTGGACAGGATAGAGCTGAGGACAGATAAACTGAGAGTTCTGGTGGTTAAACAGTAACAATGGTGACCAAATGAATTGTATACGTGAAACAGTGTCAGTCATGCTGGCTATATGTCCTGAGCAATGCGGCTTTGTGGCTGTGTTTTTTACAAAACAGTAGCCTTTAAAAGAGTTTTTATATAAATGACTATCTTAACTACACAGTCATGATAGAGAGGCAACAGTGTTGAGTGTTTGTTTATTCGTTGTTCAGAAGTGTAGCAGGATTTGACTCAGTGGGACATTGCTAATCATGTTGTCACTGGTGACTCTCCTTATATGCAGTGGCAAGGAGTCCATCTGAGGTTATTTGCTACTGAGACAGTTGAACTGTAGTAGGTGCACTCTGTCACGATAAACCAGGATCTAAAGTTGGCCGTAGTAGCTTTAATAACTTATGTCCAGCAGCAGCAGTTGTCCAAGGAAACATTTTTCACTGTGTGTGACACTGTGCTCTCCTTGCCCTTCTAGGTGATAACGATGCGTGTTTAAGCTTGCTGTGAGGGAAATGGGCAGGGGTAGGTGAAAGTCACATTTGGGCAATGGTTTGCAAGCAGTGGGATACTGTTCCATTAGATGTCTCATCCTATGCAGAATGAGTTAAAATTGAGTTGTCTCTGGCATCCTTAACAGATCTTTCCATTCCATTGCATACCCTCTCATTCCTGGGAAGTGCTATGACATTACTGGCTTCTTCCTCAGAATCTTCATTGTCATCTCCATCTAAGTTGGAGTGTGGGCCCTCCATATTTTTGCTTGGCAATTTCTCCCCTCATTGCAATGCACGAAGACCACAACAATCCAGGATACACACTGTGGAGTATATTGTAATGCTCCACTGAATCTCTCAAGCCAGTACAAGTGCATTTTCAACAACCTAGTGGTCTGTTCAGTGATGGCCCTGGTCAAAGTATGACTGCACATACCATTCATCCATGGGACTGTGGGCTTTCTGCATTGGACTCATGACCATCATCAAAAGGACTGGCCCTGTCACACAGAATCCAACCAATAACTTGCAGTGGTCACAAAGAGCTGGGTGTAGTCTAAGATATTGGAGTCAAGAGGAATTGAGCACCGATCTGCTTAATCTGCCACAAAAACAGAAAATACTGGAGAAAATTCCAGCAGGTCTGGCAACATCTATGAAGCAAGAAACAGATAATGTTTTGAATCAAATATGATTCTTCTACTAAAATGGAGAAGGGTAGAAATATAGTGTGGAGCTGGAGGAACACAGCAGGCCAGGCAACATCAGGGGAGCAGGAAAGTTGATGTTTCGGTTCGGAACCCATCTTCAGAAATGGGTGGGGGTAAGGGAGTTCAACCTCCGGCCTCATCCCATGACCAACCCTCCCTCTCATCCCCGCCTCCTTGACCTGACACAACCTGTCTGTCTTCTCTCCTAACTATCCACCCCTCCCACCTCACTGACCAATCTCCACCACTGCCTACCTGCACTCACCTATCACCATTCCATCTACCTTCTCCAGCCCCACCTCTTCTCTCTCTATTTATTTCTGAGCTCCCTTCCCCACCCCCATTTCTGAAGAAGAGTCCCGACCCAAAACGTCAACTTTGCTGCTTCTCAGATGCTGCCTGGCCTGCTGTGTTCCTCCAGCTCCACACTGTTATTTCTGACTCCAGCACCTGCAGTTCTTACTATATCTAAGGGTGGAAATATGATGGGTTTAATGCTGTGGAAAAGAGGAGAGAGGCAAATGGAACAAAAGGGAAAATTGAGAATAGGTTGGCGTGCATCGCACAAAGTGTGGAAGCCAAGAGAGATTGGAGATTAAAAGTGTCATGGAATCAAAATCTAAAGAGAATGGTAACACTTCTAGAGAATAGTTAAATCATTGGGCCAGAGAAGATGTTAATAATAGGCTAACTGTATCTGAAAACAAAAACATGAAAAGAAGATACAGGCACTAATAAGGTAAAATGGGTATCTCTCCACATTTCTTTGAGTTTCACTGGAACACTGCAGCAGGCCTAGATTAGAAGCATGAGTATGGGATTGCTGTATTGAAATGGTTCATGGTTGCAGAATGAGGAGGTTTCCCCACAAATGGGTCAACCAGACTGTGTTGGTCTGGCAGGGAAGAGACTGCATTGTGAGCAGCAAATACACAAAGCTGAACTGAAAGCGATATAAGTGAATCACTGGTTCACCTGAAGTGTTTGAGGCCTTGGACTATGAGGATGAAGAAGGTATAAGAGTAAGTGTTACACCTTCTGTATTTACATGGGAAAGTGCTGGGGGAGGAAGATGAGATGTTGAGAGTGATCGAGGAGTGTCATGGAGGGAATGTTTCCTTAATTCTTGCCCTCTCCACAGATTCTGCCAGATCTGCTGAGTTTCTCATCACTTTCCAGCTTTAGTCTCAGCATCCACAGTATTTCACTTTTATCCAAATAATCAGCCATGTGTGGTCACAGACTAGTTGAACCTTAAGGGAATGAAATGGCTTGTGAGTGATGTACGCTGCTGACTGTTCTCAGGGAGCTATCATTGCCACATGCGTGCCATCAGTAGTCCCCTGCACTGTTGTGAATTGGCCCTGAAGACTACTGTCCTAGTGGCCTGGCTCTCTGCATCTATGTAACACCTATAGAAATTGTCATACAGTTATGTGTGGCAACCTGGATATGCTACACATGTCCCTTCTGCAATCCTGAAAAGTGCGTGTAGCATTGACATTCAGCATTGAAGCCATCTTGAGGAGGATGGGCATTAGGTTTCATATGGGGTTACAGATATTGTGGAAGGAACACACTCAGATCAGTGACTGGCTCTTGCATTGCCTCTCAGAGAGTTGGGTAATTGGTACAAGTTCTGAACAGCCCAATGACAGGATCATTGATACACATCTATGACTAAACCTAGTTGCCTTCCTCCTGATCAGTCAACCCTCTACTGTTGCTTGAAGATGGCTTTGTGGTTTCTGTTGTTGCTTGGTGATGGCCATCCTCTGATGTATCATCTCAAAAATACCGGGCATCTCAGAGCCATTGCCATTCATAAAGTGAACTGTTGGAAGAAGGTGGGTAAAAACATCTCTGTTATATGGCCTTTGTCCCCAGAGCAGTTTCATCTGACCAATGAAAATTATTGCGCCCCAATGATGTGCTGCTGTTTCATGCAAAATCCCCTAATTCCATCCAGTTATAATACCATTCAATCATTTTTTGAGTAGAAATATCTTTACTGTCCTTCTCTGCTGGCCCATAGTCTGATGGTGATTCTGTTTATAACAGTGGAAAATATTGTATCTAACACTGATTTCTATGTATTTAAATTGTGAGCTTGGGATTTCTTGAAGGAATTCCAAATTTATGCAACCATGGATGTTCAAGAATGTTAACTGCTACAAACGATGCATGATGAATGAC